GGGGGGGGGGGGCAATTTGTACATATTGTACTCATAAACGTGCAAACGCTTGGAGGAATAATACATACCTTCTGCATATCTATTATTTTTTGTTTGTTTTCTTAAGAAACTGGATCGATATTCTGGTTCAAACTGTATTCTCCTAATCTTGGAAACTCTTGTTCACCCTGTTTTATATCAACTGGTCCAAAATATACTGGTTCACCCTGTAACTTTTATTTATAAATGTCCTGGATATTAGAGTCTCAATGTATAGTTTTCTTAGAGTCCAAAATATACTGGTTCACCCTTTAGCTTTTATTTATAAATGTCCTGAGCACGCGATTTAAAAAATTCGGGAAAATACGGCTCGGGTCTATGCTGTCGTTGGGCCTTATTTACGGCTTGAGCTTCCGGATTCGAGTTGCAACTTATTTTCAACAGAGTTGAGTTAAACATTGAGCCTTCTTCTCTACTAAAACCAACCAAGGTCGGTTTAATTTTTATTGGGCCTAACTCCTTCACTCGAGCCGAAGATCTTGCAGCTGTCAATCTCGTGACACAAGCTGTCGTCAGAGTTGGGTCGAAGATTGAGTCTAAAAGTCGGGAATTACGGCTCGAGTGGAAATTTTTAAATCGCGAGCTCTGGATATTAGAGTCTCATTGTACTGTGTTCTTAAAGTCCAAAATATTCACGTTGACCCAGGATATTTTCCTGAATCCTTATTTATTTTTGCGTCATTTTTTCCTAAACTAGTTATTTTTAGCAATATGTTGGGTTTCGGTTGTATCTTGATTCAAGTTGATTTATTGTATCCTCTCCACTTTACAATAGAGCTTTCTTGTGCATGGGGTAGGTGGGGGGGGGGGAGATCCGTCATTTTTAATCATTTTTTTAGCAAGAAGCCTAAAATTTTACGACATTTCTGAAAAAAGGGGGTTATGGGATATACGGGCTAACCATAATCAAATGAAGAATCAATTAGCACTATTTTCATATCTATTCAATGTTTCTTTAAAAAATATCACTGTGCTACGTTATACAAATATTTAGAGCCGTAACTGAGGAAGGGGGGCAACCGGACATTTGCCCCTCCCTGTGAAGGCTATGAATCTACAAATTTTTCAAGGATAATACAGTAATCATTAGGTCAGAGAGGCTGTTTCAGAGTGTATTTGTAGTTTTCTAGACAACAAAACAGCTCTAAATGTTAAAAAGGATTGAATTGTTGTGAGGGGTGAGGTAAAAGTTTCCTAAGAAGGAGGTTGCAGTTTTTATTTTTATTTTTATTTTAATTTTAAAATAAGTTCCTTACAGTTTGAAATATCTGTCTGTTGAGTTGGCAACTATACCATAGAACTTAATCGAGAATACTCCAGGTTCTAGGTTAAACCAGGTTAAAGGGACTCCTCCTACTCCACCAGGTTCCAGGTTAAACCAGATTAAAAGACTCCCCCTACTCCTCTAGGTTCCAGATTAAACGAGATTAAGAGGACTCCTCCTACTCCTCCAGTTTCCAGACTAATTTAGAACCTTAAGAACACTCAGTTCATTTAAAAAAAAGGCCTGATCGTTTATAAATGTTAAACTTACCTTTCACTCTTCTTCAGGTTTCCAGAAGGTTTACATTTTTTAATTGATATTTCCTTCTCGTAATTCGTTTCTTAATAGTTCCAAGATTTATAAGTCCTTCATCGTTAATAGCTGGGGTTAAAGGATTAATTGAAAATGAACAGGAGGAGTTGAAAGCTCATATCTAGGATTCAGGATTCTATCTAGGAATATATCCTGAACTCTATCTCGGAGTCTATCTAAGATTCTATCTATGATTTTATGTAGGACTCTATCTAGAATTCTATCTAGGATACTATCTAAAATTCTATCTAGGATTCTATCCAGGATTCTTTCTAGGATTCTATCCAGGATTCTATCCAGGATTCTATCTAGGATTCTATCCAGGTTCCTATCTAGGATTCTATCTAGGATTCTATCTAGGATTCTATCTAGAATTCTATCTAGGATTCTATCTAGAATTTTATCTAGGATTCTATTAAGGATTCTATCTAGGATTCTATCTAGGATTATATCTAGAATTCTATCTAGGATTCTATCTAGGATTCTATCTAGGATTCTGTCCAGGATTCTATCCAGGATTCTATCTAGAATTCTATCTAGGATTCTATCTAGGATTCTATCTAGGATTCTACCTTGGACTCTATCATGAATTCAAGTTTCATTATTATTCTGAACTTGACTAGCTGTGTCTGGAATAAAATAATGAAAAATGCTTGTTAAACCAATATAGGAACACGAGGAAAACAAAAACGATGCAAAAAGTAATAATTTTCAGATAATGATTTTATTTGAATACTAGTTGAGGTGCCCGATGGTGCCAATGAAATTTTTTTTAAGGATTTTGATGGAGTAAAGGAATCTAAACGAAGTACACAAGATTTAAAAAAAAAATTCCCGTTGACAAATATTTGAATTTAGCTTTAGACTGTGAAGCAACAACATTTGTTAAAAATTATTTTGTTTTGATGAATTGCTTGACATTCATCTTCCTTGGTTGAAAAGACTGTTGAAAGGTGTATACTACTCTCTTGTATAC